AATGTTAATACTTGATATAAATGCAGCAATAACTGCTAAACCTAAAAATAAAAAAAAATTTCTTAAATAATATTTAATAAAATTTTTTTTTTGAATATTTACCTTGTGGAACTGTTTGTGGATAATATCCACCGCCCATTAATAATAAACCACCAACAGCAGTTATACCACTAATAGCATTTGTAACACTCATTAATGGACTATGTAAAGCTGGTTGTACACCCCATACTGTATGATAACCAACAATACCCGATAAAGCAAATGTTGTAATCATATTTGCAAATTGGGGATTTGGTGAAATAATACCTAAACCAAGAAGACCACCAATACTACTTGTATATATTAATGAATTTTTTAAATATTTTGTAAAATAGTTTGGTGTTAAAACTTCAGCAGCAAGTTTTTCTGCAGCTTTTTCATCTTTTTTAGGTTTTTTTGATAGAGGAGTTTCAATTGCTGCTCGTGCTGGTGGTGGCCACATTAATTCTCCTTCACGTAAAATAAGTGAACCACGTACAACTTCATCATTTAAATCAATATAATAATGATCTTGACTTCCAATTGATAAAAGAAATTTTGAAATATTATTTGCATATAAACCTGATGCTTGTGCTGCTAAACGTGATGGAAGATCTGCATAACCAATGTGTGTAACATTTTTATAAACATATTTTTCTCCTGGACGTGTTGTTTCAATATTACCACCAGCTTCAGCTGCTAAATCGACAACAACTGAACCTGGTTTCATACTTTCAATCATTTCCTTGAAAAAAAAACCATTGAAATATTAAATCATTCTTATTTTCTTTTAGGATAACTAACTTTTGTAATTAATTTTGGAGCCGGTTTGCCTAGAAAAATAAATGTGTATAAGATATATTTTAATGATGTTGAATTAAATACCGGGAATTAAAGCTGTTGTAATAATAATATCAACTTCTTTAGCTTGTTTAGAAAATAAAGCCATTTCAGCTTCGATAAATTCTGGTGACATTTCCTAAGTTATATGTTAACATTTAGATTTTTTTTTTAATCAATTAAAAATTAAATCATACTTTTGCATAACCACCGGTTCCTTCACCACTTTCACTACCCTAAAATATTCATAACAATATATTTATTATATCAATCAAAAAAAAAAACAAAAATCTTTACTTTAAAATTAAGTTCAAGAAATTCAGCACCCATCGATTGCACTTGCTCTTTTACAGTTGGACGTGTATCAAATGCTCGAACAACTGCGCCCTAATTAAATAATGAAAAAACAAACATAATATTTTATACTTTTTTATCAAGTAGTTTTATTAACATCTCCCACTCCTACAAAACTGAAGCCCATCCTATCCGAGTCAGCACAAAATAGCAATGTAAATCATCGAAGAAATTTGTTCATCGCTTGCCGCTGTACCTAATTTCATTTGTTCTGTATGTTTTTTTTTTATTAATGAACAAAGTTGTTCAGGAGCTGATGAATAGGTATGCTTTAATACCATTCTGTTAGGTTTCTTCGTGTTATAAAATTATAGACAGTCTAGAAATGAAACAATGTATGAATGATGGTCAGCTGAAATCACATGACAGTTCATCAGACTCAAAAACAAGTACCAGTATGAGATGAATATGATACTCATTGTTGAAATACCCATAAGATTTGAACATGCAAGCAACGGTTTCAAGAAAATAGCTGAGTTTTATAAAAGTAGACTAAGGGTTTTCGGGAGCAGGAAACCCAACCTATAGAACATTTGTTGAAACTCTCGAGTTCGATTCTCTCGTTTGAGAAAAAGGTTTTGTTCTCACAGATTAGTCAGATTTTTATAAATTTCAGCTATTTTCTTGAAAATTAATCCCCTCCGTCTAAAAAAGTTGAAATGAAGCTAAGATTAACCTAGTTTCATTATGCGTTCACCGTCTCAATCGTTATTTTATATGTCCGTGTACGCCGCTTTACTTAAGACTGGTGGCAACAGCGATCATTGTCGTCGTTGCATCCTTAATCAATTCCATAGAAATGAGAAACTCTCGTTTAATACTACAGGGCTTACTTTATACTTCTTTCATGATAATTGAATTATATCTCCTGAACTGTATACCAGCTTCTAAGATGACGTCGCTCGAAAGAGCTGTATCGTTATATACTTCATAGAAGTTTTTTCTCAAA